TCCCACAAGGGCAGGGAATCTGTCTTGCTCTCATTTGTGTCCCCTGCACTGTCCCAGTGCAGTGTCTATAGGCATATAGCAGACACTTAATAGTTTATGAGCAACTATTTGAGTGAATAAACTAAAATTAGTGGGGCTGGTCTTGTGTCATAGTAGGTTAAGCCTCCACCTGTGGCACCAGCATCCCATACGGGTGCTGATTCCTGTCCTGGCTGCCCGACCCAGCTCTCTGCTGTGGCCTGGGAAAGCAGCAGAGGATGGCCCAAGTCCTTGGGCCCCTGCACCCATGCGGGAGACCTGGAGAAAGCTCCTGGCTCCAGGCTTCAGATCAGCTCATCTCCAGAAGTTGTAGCCATTTGGGGAGTGAACCAATGGAGGGAAGACCTTTTTCTGTGTCTCTCCCTCTCTGTCTATAACTCTGCCTCTCAAATAAATAAATAAATCTAAAAAAAAAAAAAAACCTAAGTCTAATTTTACTCAAAATGACTTCCTTCTAGGATCCTTGTGATAGTGATAGATATAAGGTCCTATATTTACAAACAGCCATATCTTTTCAGGGGCTACTGTCCCAGAGTACCACAAATGAGATGGCTCAAAACAACAGAAATGCATTCTCTCACAGTACAGGGACCCACTCGTAGGTGTCGGCAGGCCGCACCCATTCCAGAGCCCCAGAGGAGACTCTCCCCCACCCCCTCCAGGTCTCTCCCAGCTGCTGGTCCACTTGGAACCTCAGAACCTCTGAGCGTCCCTGGGCTTGTGGCCACACGGCTCCGATCTCCACCTCCGTCTTCACACGGCTTCTTCCCTGCACCTCCGGACGTCTTCTGCTTTCCTGTCTCTTCCGTGGACACGTGCCATTGCGTTGAGGTCCCGTCCAGTCCAGGATAACTCCTAGTGAGATCCCTGGCTCACTTCGGCAGAAGCCCTATTCCAAATGAGGGAGGCCACATTCTGAGGATCCAGCTGACCTATCTTTTGGGGTGACACCACTCAACCCACTGCACCCCTCCAGGAGAGCCCTGCACATTGGAGAGGCCCCCAGTGACTGCTGGCTGCCTCCCGCCCTGTTTCAGACCTCATCATCTCCAGCTGTGGCTATGCCCACAGCTGCCTAGCTGGCTGCTCTTCAACCCATGCCCCACAGGGCAGCCTCAGTGGCCTGGAACCAGGCAGCTTTTGCCTTTGGCTGAGCTTATGCTATAGACCCACCCCACCCCTGGCCCCCACCCCGATGCTGCTGTTAGTGCCACCATGGGTTCTGACCCAGCCAAGCCCCTCAGAGCCTGCCTCTGCAATCAGGAAATACCCCTGCCCACCTGCCCCAGGGACAGCGGAACTGTCAAGGCTTGAGTCTGTGTGGCACCTGCCGCACCTGGGGTGCAGGAGGAAGTGATGTGGACCCACAAGGAGAGGCCAGGATACCAGTGGAAAGATCCGAGGTGTCCTCTGGAGCCAACCCTTTGGGCCAGCTCTGCGCTGCCTCACTCTAAAAAACTCGAACCAGGGAACTCTCCTTGGGGTTTCTGGTTGAAATGCGGCTCTGCAGCCCAGAGCACCCTGGTCGGAACCACACCCATACAGTCAGGGCGCACAGGGTGTGATGACAACATAGCTTGCTGCTTGCTCCCTCCCCGTCCCTTTAAAACTGTTCTGTGGGCTCCCCCCAGCCAGGGGTTGCATGTTCTCCTGCTCCATAGTCGGGCAAGGTTGGCAAACAGGGTCTCAGCTCAGGAACTCAGCTGTACGGCCTCCTCTTGCCATAACCACGACTCAGGGCTTTAAGGTGCAGCTCCTCCCCCTCCCAGCCCAGGCCTGCACTAGGATGAGGGTGGGGCTTGTGGGTGGGGAGTAAATGGCATGTTCTCCTGGTTGCAGCTCTTCCACCCCTGCCCTTGGACTTGTAATCGGTGGGTTCAGCTCTCCCCAGGACAGAAGCTGGGAGAAGGGAGCACAATGGGACTGACTAAGCCTCACTTGCTTGCCTTGCAGAATGGACGCCTGGCAAGCAGGTGCCTCAAGCTAATGGCTTCTGTTGGGGGCATGATCTTTCTTTCTACCTTTTCCTTCCATTCTTCCTCCCTCCCTCCCTCCCTTATTTGCTTCTTTTTTTTTCCAGAGTCAGATAGAGATCCCACCCACTGATTCTCTTCTCGAATGCTCCCAACCACGCTGACTAGACCAGGCTAAGTCAGGAATCTGGGTCTCCCACATGAGTGGCAGGACCCAAGCCCTTGAACCACCATCGGCTGTTTTCTAGGGTGAGCGTTCGCAGGGAGCTGGAGTCAGGAGCCCCGCAGTCTGATATGGGAGGTGGGCGTCCTAACTGCTGGCTCAGACACCTGCCCCTCCTCAGTACCAGCCAGCCGCCTGCACAGGCTGGGGGTCAACAGTGGCCAGTTGGGGGCAGCAGCAGCAGGGGCCTGGCTGGGGAAGCAAGGCTGCCCAATCCACCCACCCTGGGCAGAAGCACCCTGGGGTGCTGGTCTACCCAGGAGGCCTTAAGAGGGAGATAAAGGTACAAGGTCCTGTTCGATGGGCGATTAACTGGGAGAAGAAGTGAGGTGCGACCATGGCCGCCCCCTTGGGCTTGCAGCGCTCATGCCCTCACGAATAGTTCCCCTGTTTTTACATCACAGGGATGCAGCGACTTGGCATAGCCGCCCAGGAGAGGTGATCAGCCCCCGGCTGGCAGGGCAGTGAGCTCTCCTCCCCCCAGTGGAGATGAGCAGCCGCGCCACTGAAAGTCCCTAAGTGCCAGAGGAGAAGCCAATGAAGCCCAAATGGAAAAAGTGACATGAAGTCAAGATGTGTGAAACTCACAGAGCTGCTTTCTAAATGTCCCCTGGAAGGTTGTCCCCACCCCCACCCCCACCCCGCCACTCCCCAGCAGAGGGGGAAGCGTCTGGAAGCTGTGTCCCTGGCCAGGAGAGGCAGTGGGTGCTCCCCCCACCCCCACCAGGGCTCCTTGGCCTCCTCCGTGGCTCCTCCGGCACTGCAGGGGGTCGGAGCTGGCCCGAGCTTGCCTCGCCCGGAAGGTTCTCCCGAGAATGTCAAGTGCGGACGTGGGTGTTTACTGTCTGACGTTTTTTCAAACGCAAGCACTTTGTTCTGACTTTTCATGGAGACTCAGGTGCACAGCGTCACTGCCTGGGCGCCTGGTTTAGACGTGTCCTGAGCTCACGGGCTGCTCGGCGGACCCCCAGTCGCCAAGGCCCCTCTGGGAGAATCAGGTCGCCAACGTCAAAGGCTCCAGAGGAGGCGCGAGTTCTTCCTCCCTAGGGCATTGCTCAGACGAGTCTTTCCGGGCCGAGCGGCTCTGCTTGATTGCGTTTAGGTCAGGGTCTGTCTAGATTGAGCCAGCGGCCTAAGGAGTCGTAACACGAGTCGGGCGGTTCCTGGCCCTCGTGGTCGGGCAGGTTGTTCCATTTCACTGTGGTGTAAACATTGCGGAATGGCTGGTAGTTACTGTCACCCGTGCTGCATTGGAGGGGAGGCCGCTGCACAGCCTCTGCAGTGACCATGAACTTGACCCCTCCCCCTAAACCCCTGGGAAAGAGAGCACTCTTCATTAAATGGTACCATGGGGCCACGGCCATGCCAGATATACAGAATCCTTTTCAAAAATGGTGTTTTGTGTTTTTCCACGTAAACCTGAATCTTTGTTTCTCTCTGCAGACCAGAGCTTTTGGTGTTAAAGAAACAAGAGGAAGAGGTGGATAAGAAAGTCCAACTCACACACCAAGTGCACACAACACAAATACACAGCCCTGTGGGTCGCCCCAGGCTGATTAACACAAACAGCACCAGAATCAATCCCCCCCCCACCCCACCCACCCACCCACACACACATCTGGCTTCAGCCTCACAGGACGGGCACCTGTATCCCGATGGCTCACATGGGGCTGAGCGTGGGCAGCAGGGACAGTGAAGCTGCCAGCCTTCCTGTTTCCACGGGCACTTCTCCCCAGCCAAGACCCCCACCCCAGCCCTTCCGGCTAACTCTACCTCAATCCCAATGTGGTTTGTGACTCGGCTATGGAAAGGGAAGAGCCACTCCTCACAGCCTGGCCCAGGAGCCCACTGCTCCCCAAACCCTGAGGGGAGCCCCACACCCATCAGCTGCATCCCCCGACCTCCTCTCTTCCTGCCAGGGTCCTAACCCAGGAGCCTGTCCCAAGGGAAGCTGGTGGCTCTTGACCATGGAGTCTATTGATCCTGTGACAATGGTGCTCTGGCACTCCTGGCCACTGGCCACACCTGCAACAGGTGCACAGTGAAGGACTCAGGAACCATGCAGGCTCTGACCCAGGGAGCCAGTCTCAGGGACAGCTTCCTGCCACGGCAGGCCTCAGCGGGACCTGGAGGAGCTTAGGCTCCCTAGCAGCAGTGCGCTCTGCGAAAACTTCCTTTGACTGAGATCCTAACAAAGCCAAAGGCCGGAGAGTGCATCGCCTTTTCTGCTGAGCCAACCCAAGACAGCTCAACGCGGATCCTCTGATGACCCGAATGAGAGGAAATTCGCCCACTTGCTTGCCGTCTGCTGAGTTTCTGCCTGGCACTGTCCTAAAGCTCTTGGGCTGTGACATTACGCCCCGCTCAGGGGGCTCCGGGCAGTCCAGCTGCAGAGAGAGGGGCAGTGGTCACTCACAAGGAAGAGCCGTCTTTTCATCATCTTTCCTTTCCGTGCAGCCGCTTGAACCTGCCTCCCCCTGGATCAAGAACAGGACCCCCTCCCAGAGTGTGAGTATCCCCCAACAGAGCAAGGATGGACAGTTCTAGACGCGCCTTATGCATTCACATTATCATTCACATCATCGGGTGACAAACGCAAAAGAATGTGGTCAATGGACTGTTTTTCAAATGATTGGATCTTCTCTAGTTCTTAGGTGGGTGTAATTTACATGCATTGGAATGTATCTCATCATGCTCTAGGAATTTCCAGAACGTTCTATGAATGTATGCATGTGTTGTGAATTTAAATAAGTTCTCTTACTTACCTTAATGGTGCCCTTGTTGGGTTGATTTGCTGTTTCCTCTTTTAATAATTACAGAATTTCCCTACTTCTTTGCTAGAGGGTCTCAAACCACTCCATCAACAGTGGTACAAAATTCCTGATGGTCGCGCTGCTGCTTATGAGTGACTAATTATATGTCATTTAATCCGTTCGTCCTGGGCTCTATCACGTGCGGTTTGTACAGTTATTTTTAGGTCTTTTCTTCCTGCATCTAAAAGTAATTAAGTCGTTCACTGATTCTTGAAATTATAATAATTTTTTAAAAAGCCACTGGTTTCCCTGTGTCCCGCGTTAGCAAAATGAATTAGCCACAAACAAACAATATCCCATGGGAGGCATTTATGGAGCACCGTTGGTCTACGCAGGGGCTGAGGTTTGTCCTGTGACGTGTCCACACACCAGTGCCCTCCCATGGGGCGGGGAGCGGGGCTCTGAACCTGGAAAGCGCCCCTGGGCTGTGTCTGGTTGCTGTCGTCTTGTTTTCTTCCTGAGCTGCCCAAAGAGAGAACACAGATTTGGAACAAACAGCAGTTGAGATCCTAATCTTCTGGCTGTACAAGGGCACACGGCGTCTTTTCCTAGGGGCATGTCACCAAGGAGACCAAAAGAGTGCAGCTTGTACTCTTTCCTTTATAAAGTCATTTCTTCTTGAAAACATGTGCACACAGAACAAAATGTGCAGCGGGCGTGCAGAGAACGGGGCACCTCCTTTCCTCGGTTACCTTCCCTGAAGGCCGCGGCAGGTGCCATCGCCCGTGTGCTTTGCCCGAGATGTCCCTTACATAAACCATAAGCGAATAACAGATGAGGGGACTTCACAAAGCTTGTGGGAAATGGAATCAAAAGTTAAGCTTACTTGGGGGCCTAAGAATCAAGGTTTAGGGGCCGCTGCCATGGCATAACGGGTAAAGCCGCTGTCTGCAGTGCCGGCATCCCATATGGGTGCTGGTTCAAGTCTTGGCTACTCCAGTTCCCATCCAGCTCTCTGCTATGGCCTGGGAAAGCAGCAGAAGATGGCCTAAGTGCTTGGGCCCCTGCACCCACATGGGAGACCCAGAAGAAGCTCCCGGCTCCTGGCTTCGGCACAGCTCCCGCCCTTGTGGCGCACAGCGGCCCCTGCTGGGCTGGGAACATCAAAAGCATTCATTCTATTTTTAAAAAATGTGAATTAATTTTTCTGGCTGACTAGTCTTACATTTCTGGCTAAGCCTATTTGCTCATTACTTTTTTTATTTTTAGATTTTTCCTAATTAGTTCTTTTTAAATATTTAGCCATTTTTATGTATTTGCAAGAGAGAGAGAGCCACTTGTTCACTCCCCAATTGCCAGCCAAGGCTGGGCCAGGCCAAATCCAAGAGCCAGGAACTCCATCCAGGTCCTGCATGTGGGTGGTAGGGACTCAAGGACTCGAGCCCTCTCCTGCAGCCCCTGTTCCAGATGATTGGCAGGAAGCTGGAATAGAAGTGGAACTGGGACTTGGTCCCAGGCAGTGTGATAGGGAATGCGGGTGTCCTGAGCAGTGACTTAACCACTGCACCACAATGCCCAGTCCTCCTACATGGTCTTGACATTTGCTTTTCGATACAAATAGCTTGTCTATTTCACACACACACACACACGAAAATACTACTGATATTTTTATTGCAATTATGTTGGTTGTGTGGGTCATTTTAGGGACAATTGACATCTTAATGATGTTGTGTCTCCTATTCAAGAACTTGGTGTTTTGAACTCTTTTGATATTTAAAAATAAATATCTATGAAGAAATGGCTCCAGACTCTCAGTGCTATCAACATTCAGGGATGTTCAAGGCTCTTCTATAAAATGGCATAGTATTTGCATATATATTATAAATATATGGCCTTCCATATTCTTTATTTTTACTTGGAGATTTCTTTATTTACTTACATACTTATTTGCAAGGCAGAGCATCAGAGAGAGAGGGAGGGAGGGAGAGAGAGGGAGGGAGGGAGAGAGAGGGAGGGAGGGAGAGAGAGGGAGGGAGGGAGAGAGAGAGAGAGAGAGATCTTCCATCCATGGCTTACTCCCCAAATGGCCCCAACAGCTAGGTCTGAGCCAGGCTGAAGCCATAGGCCTGGAATTCCAACCAGGACCCAAGTACTCAGGCCATATCATTTGCTGCCTTCCCAGGTGCATTAGCAGGGAGCTGGGTCAGAAGCAAAGCAGCCAGGACCAGCATTCTGCTTTGGGATGCCGGCCTCACAAGCAGAACCCAGACCCCAACCCACATTGTACTTAAGTCATGCCCAGATTATTTACAAGAACTAGCACAAGGCAATACTAAGGAACAGTTGCTATACTGCATAGTTTAGGGACTAGTGACAAGGAAAGAAATCTGTCCATGTTCATGGTGTTTTCTTCCCAGACCGTTTTCCGTTTGCTGTGAGTTAGATGCAATGGTGCAGAACCCGTGGGCACAAAGAGCCAAGTGCACACCCTGCTGGGCTCCAGCCCAGTCCACAAGGAAGCCGCACTTAGCAGCTGCTGGTTCCCACTGGAGTGAACTCAGCCGGCAGCCCGGGACGCCGGATTGTGTGCTGATCTCTCTGTTTCGCAGCGCGATCTCGTGGCCCACCGCCCTCAGCCAGGCCAGCAGGCTCCTGAGTGACAGCTCGGAGGAGTGGAACGTGACCATCTCCACCAGAGCCTGGTGGCTGCCGGATGGAGCCCTCACCATCATCCACATCTCCCTGAGGGCTTCCTCTTCCGGTTGGCCAGCAACACCCTCCGGAAGAATGGCAGATCCTTCAGAGATTTTATTATGCAAATGTGACCTCTGAACTACAAAAGAAAGGGTTCCTCATTGATGGTGAGTGGCAGAGTGGTCCCACAGCGCAGCCTGGAGCCCAGCTGTGTGAGCAGCCGGCCCCACGCTGGAAGCCAGGGGCTCCCTTGCCAGTCAAAGCCAGCAGCCCTCCACTGGGAGTCCCCGAGCTTTTTGTGGGGGGAGCGTTAGGTGCAAGCAGGTGGCCTCTTGCCATGGGAAGAAGGCGGAATTTGCAGTCCTAAGCTGTGGAGTCGATTTCAACTTCCGGGGGTCGCACAACTTGGAGCAGGGAGTTGCTCTCCAGGATCTGGGATAGATGCCCCTCCCCTCCAAGAGCTCTTTAGTTTTAATGACTCTAATGTAGACAGTTACTGAGCTTGGAGGCCTCATCAAATGGAGCCCTAACTGACAACTGGAATCTTCAGCTGCAAAGCCAAGGAATTCCCAGTAGTAAATCCATTGGAGCTAGGCTTTCTGTCCCTCACAATCCAACATATCCTAAATGATAGCACGGCATAAATAACTTCCTGAAAGAAGCTGTCCTTGGTGTAGAATGTGAAAAGAGAGGGAAGTTGGGTTCATTTCTTCCATGGAGACTTACATGTATAGGGCAAATATGTTTAGCTTCTTTCTTGTTTCAGCTAATTGTCATTTCTAAGACTTGTCTAATGCCTGTCAAAGGGCATTCATTGAGATCCTGTTCCTGTTCACCCTCAACCCCTGCCTCCATCAACACACTGCCATGGAAATGCCAAGGAAAGCACTCAAGCGCTCGGGGATGGCTCCAGTGGTCTTTCCCAGGAAGCAGAAGCCGCCATCTTCCCGCTGGCAATGGACACAGCTGCACAGGCCCCGGCTTGATCCTAACCCTCCTACTTTCTGGGGAGCTCATCTGAGAGCCTGCCTTGGACATGCACGCTTGGGTGAGAACCAGCCCTGTAGAGGCTCCGGCTCCATTTTCAGCCACGCCGGTGAGAAAAACCTGAAAGTACTACAGATATTTGCTGCAACACCCCTTCCGTCTACATAAGGTACTCAGAGTGAGGGTCATGTGCCGCTGCCTTTACAGACCCTGTGTCCGTGGACTGATGGAGAAGGTGTCAACAACACAGCACAGGTCTTCAGTTCAGGGAGAGCTTTGAACCTGCACAGCCCTGGCAGAGATGGGAACAGGGCACCTGGCTTCCCAACATTCCGGGCACCTTCTCTTTCCCTGTCGCCAGAGGAAGTTTCCCTCCAAGACCTAGTCAATCAATTCAGATGCAAAGCTTTCCACTGAAGTGGAGATGATTTAAAATCAATGCAGGGGGCTGGCGCTGTGACATAGTGGGTAAAGCCGCCACCTGCAGTGCCAGCATCCTATATGGGCACCAGTTTGAGACCCAGCTGCTCCACTTCCGATCCAGCTCTCTGCTGTGGCCTGGGAAAGCAGTAGAAGATGGCACGAGTCCTTGGGCCCCTGCACCCACGTGGGAGACCTGGAAGAAGCTCCTGGCTCCTGGCTTCGGATGGGCACAGTTCCAGATGTTGTGGCCAATTGCAAAGTGAACCAGTGGATGGAAGACCTCTCTCTCTCTCTCTCTCTCTCTCTCTCTCTCTGCCTCTGCTTCTCTCTCAGTGTAACTCTGAATTTCAAATAAATAAAATAAATCTTTAAAAAAAAAGTCAATGCAGAACGGATCCAAGAATGGCTGGCTCTGAGGCTCTGTGGCTGATGGCACCAAGGGTTTGTACCAAACCCACTCAAGGTTATAGAGCTTCCCCAGGTGGTTGAAACTCATCTATTATGAATAAAATTCTAGTCTACTCGGTTGCAACATGATTTGATTTTTATGGAGTGCTGTAGTAATTATCACAAGAGAGTATTTGGAGTGTAGACATCTGCTAGTATTTACACAACCTGGAGTAACAGACACGCTCTGATTCTCATAATTGATCCTGGCTGTCTAGGCGCCTACCAGAGCAGAATGCCAACACACTCTTCACATAAAGAGGGTTCTTCGGTTGGCAACAATGAAAGACAATTCTCCCTAACACATGCAAATATATACGGGCATTTGGCCAAGCCATTAGACGCCTGTGTCCCACATCAGCGTGCCTGGCTCCAGCTCCTGATCCCAATTTCCTGCTAATGCAGGAAGCAGCGGGTGAGAGCTCATGTAACTGGGTCCCTGCCACCCATGTGCGAGACCTGGATTGAGTTCCTGGCTCCTGGCTTTGGCCCAGCACAACCGCTGCAGGCATTTGGTGAGTGAATTAGTGGATGGCAGCGCTCTCTCTCTCTCTCTCTCTCTCTCTCTCTCTCTCTGCGGGTGTTTCTCTGCCTCTCATATAAATCAGAGCAAACAAGCACACACATGCACGCACTTAAAAAGTTCATAGAAAAAATGGTTGAAAGGACGTTGGAAACCCATGCCTATTTTTTCCATCATAGGCATTTTCCATGAAATTTTGGAAGAGCTCTTGCATGCATGGATTCAAAAGTTTTTACGCCAAAGTGAATTCCTTGTTTAGTTCTGTCTTTCCATGCAGTGTTTTGGTGCCCTCAGTTACATGACTTGGGGAAGGCAGCTGAGGTAGCTCAGGGGGTCCAGAGGACGGCAGCTCATCCCCGCCTCACAAGGGAGAGGGGCTGGTTCGCTCTGAAGCCCTCCCTCGGTGGCCCCCACTGGGGAACCTTCTCTTTAGGATCCTCCCAGAAGGTGGCTCAGTCCCCAGGACCATCTCTCTGCAGCTCTGCTCAGGGCCAGAGCACTACACTGGATCAGGGTGCAGCAGGAGCTGGGGGTAGACCCAGGGAGCAGAGATCTCTGATTGGTTGAGGCTGAGTCATGTGCTCCCTCATGTGACCAGAGGACACTGAATACTTTGAAGAAAATGATAGGAAAAAGTGCTAGTGGGGCTGGCGCTACCACATAATGGGTTAAGCCTCCACCTGCGACACTGGCATCCCACATAGGTGCCAGTTCTTGTCCCCGCTGCTCCACTTCCAATCCAGCTCCCTGCTAATGCACCTGGGAAAGCAGTGGAAGATGGCCCAAGTGCTTGGGCCTGGCAACCCATGTGGGAGACCTGGAAGAAGCTTCTAGCTTCAGGCCGGCGCCGCGGCTCACTAGGCTATTCCTCCGCCTTGCGGAGCCGGCACACCAGGTTCTAGTCCCGGTCGGGGCGCTGGATTCTGTCCCAGTTGCCCCTCTTCCAGGCCAGCTCTCTGCTATGGCCTGGGAGTGCAGTGGAGGATGGCCCAAGTGCTTGGGCCCTGCACCCCATGGGAGACCAGGAGAAGTACCTGGCTCCTGCCATCGGATCAGCGCGGTGCGCCGGTGCAGCACGCTGGCCGCGGCAGCCATTGGAGTGTGAACCTTCGGCAAAGGAAGACCTTTCTCTCTGTCTCTCTCTCTCACTGTCCACTCTGCCTGTCAGAAATTAAAAAGTAAATAAAATAAAAATGATAGGAAATGAATAAGAAAAAGAAAAAGAAAGAAAGAAAGAAAGAAGCTTCTAGCTTCAGCCTGGCCCAGCCCTGGCTGTTGCGGCCATCTAGGGAGTGAACCAGCGAATGGAAGATCTCTCTCTCTCTCTCTCTCTCTCTTTTCCTCTAACTCTGCCTTTCAAATAAATAAATAAAAATTGTAAAAAAAAAAAAGTGCTAGAAATCAGTCCTCTGTGTGGAACTGTATGATCCCTATGGCAGAAGGGGCTGATCCCTGCAGGCCACTGTAACCTTTTGTAAACAACAGGGTAGGGGCCAGCGCTGTGGCATAGCAGGTAAAGCTGCTGTCTGTAGCACCAGCATCCCACATGGGTTCGAGTCCCAGCTGCTTCTCTTCCAATCCAGCTCTCTGCTATTGCACCTGGGAAAGCAGTGGAAGGTGGCCCAAGTGCTTGGGCCCCTGCACCCATGTGGGAGACCTGGAAGAAGCTCCTGGCTCCTGGCTTTGGATCAGCCCAGCTCCAGCCATCTGGAGAGTGAACCAGAGAATGGAAGACTCTGTCTCTCTCTCTCTCTCTCTCTCTCTCTCTCTCTCTCTGTGTGTGTGTGTGTGTGTGTGTGTGTGTAGAACAGGAGAGCTGATTTCTCTGAGGATGGAGGAGGGGGTGAGAAGAGGAGGAGGAGCGCGTTAGGGACCAGAGGGTGGCACTGCGCTCC